GTCTTGTTTCTGTGCATATTATTATCCTTGCAGTTCTATCTAGATAAGATAGGCGGGATAAACAATCTGGAGGAGAAAACAACCAGACTGATGTTGGGGGGGTGGGGAGCGGGGGAAAGGAAGTGGTGTTAACAACCTCAGGGACAAGGGAACAACAAGTGATTCAAATTCCATGGTGCGGAGGGTATAGGAGGCCTGGTAGGTGCTTGATCAAGGGCTATGTAACTCTGAGGAATTACTGAAACCCAAATGAAAGTTTTCTTTTTAAGGGGGAAGATAAACAGATCCAAACCCTGGGGCAAGAACATAAGTCACACATTGCTGTTGCTAGCAGGTCCTGGAACTTTCTATGAAGAGCTGTCAGACTTCAGGCAAACCACTGCCCTTCTCTGGGGCTACATTCCTTCACCATAAAATAAAGGGGTGGCGCAAGCAATCCAAAGTCTCTTCCAGCTCCAAAATTGTATGATTCTGTTAAAAATCATTCCAAAGTCACTGTGGACGCGTTTGCCAGTGGCCAAAGGCTTGTGTGGCTAAACAGCTTTGGCATGCATCTTGCTCAAGGAGTTAGGCCCCCCCACCCCCACCCCCACCCGCTCTGAGCAGACGCGGTGTTAAAAAAAGATGGCAACTTGTTTCTTGCTTTGTAACTGGCGGAATGACGGGCGTCCTTTCCCCAATGCCAAGGATCCTACTTTTGCCTAGGCCCGGATGCTTTCAACAAGGGGATCTAGTGACATTTTTTGGCAAAGGAAAAAAAAAAAAGGCCAAAGACTCGAGAGAAAAACACTGTCATCTCACGGTGAATGTGATCGTCATTTGGATTTGGCCAGAAAACAAAGGTCTACAAAGTAAGTTCAGAAAAATGCTGGCGTGTACCTCCGCAAACAGGCCGAGTATGCATTAAATAGACAAACCTTCGCTGGGCAGGGGGAGCCAGGGAAAGATGCCGATGTGGACAAAACCGACTGTTCTTGACTTTGGTTTGCCAGTTTTATTGGTCATGTGTCCAGAATACATTATACAAATCTTTTGAAATAATTCGCTATTATAAGAATAGTTTACAATTCTGCTCTGATTGCACAAATACTTGACACAAGAAACCATTTTTACAAATACATAGGTTCTTAGAAGAATATTTCAATAAAGAAAATAAGTCTCTATACATCCGATAACAAGTGGTGGGCAGTGTCTGCCCCACCGATTCATCACTTCATGTCTTTTATGACTTGTCCATACGTCCAATAGGCTAAGTCACTGTCAGCTGCCTCTCATTTCCCACAACTAAGTCATACTGCAGGCGTTTCTGAGAGTCTCTGCGTAATCTTTCCTGCTCTGAAAGAATTCACGTATTTGGGCTGAAAAGGTCATTTAAACACTATTCCTTCTAAATTCTAATCTTACAGTGGGCCCACCGCTGTGCTTGGAGGGCGATTTTCTACTTCTTCGCCAGATTAGACCTGCCAGCTGTTTGGCCTGCACTGTAAGTCTTTATGCTCCGAACAGTTTCTAAGCTGCCAAAAACAAGAGTTTAGAAACCAGAGCTAAGTACAAGGATTACGAAAGCCAAAACATTTGCTATTGATTAGAGCAGAGAACTATCGTGAAGCCCCCGTCTCGCTCACATTGAATACAGAAGACAAAGGAAGTGTCCGAATGTGGCGGTAGTTTTATTAAGTACTGAAAAAACGGGAGAGGTCATTGCTTAGGTCTAAGGTGGTCACTTCCAAAATGCCAGAGGCTACACACAGACTCTTGAACTTCAACACCTGACATGCTTCTTAGGCTGCGGCTCTGAAATGGCCGTAGGATTACCCACTGGCCCGGAGCGAGCCGTTATTTAGGCTGAAGGACCTTCACAGAGCACTGCCCATGTGAGCCAGAAGGGACAGGCCCCACTGGGGAAAACGTGGTGGCCCCTCCACTCCTTCAGAGTTGCAATGAGTCCACTTGACAGAGCTTGCTGCCCTGCTGTGCGGGAGCATGACTTAAAACGGAGACACGAGTGGCATCTTATTGTCACATTCAAGTTCCTGAGTACTCAGCTCCAGATATTGCCCATTCTTACAGAAAACAACAAAAACCTTTATTCGGGCCCTGGTCCAAGGAGAGGTTTTGCAGTCCTGAGACATGTCCCCTTTCTCTGGATTTTTCTTTCTTACCCCAGTTTAACTAGTTGCTGCAGGTTTTTTGCCCAAACACTGCAGCAGTGGTTGGAAATGAGTTATTTTGCATTACGGAAAGCACTAATCACATTATTTTGGGTCCTGTTTGCATAAAGCTAGGAGGCCACCCCATGCCGGGCTACTGCAGTGAGCTTGCAAATTCGGCGTAGTCGATGTAACCGTCATTGTTCTTGTCATCGTCTCTCAAAACGCCATCGATTAGGTTGATCAATTCCGCTTCGTTCATCGGTGGAGCGTGTTCGCTCTCTTCCTACAAAACACAAGTCAGAGCACGATGAGCCGCACAGTCCACCGGGAGGAATGCGTCGCGGATGCCCACCATACCCGGGCTCCGGCGTGTCCAGAAGCCCCTCAAGTACACGACGGCTTCGGGGAGTCCACAGAACCACCCATCCAGTCGCCTCGCAGTATGGCAGATGAGAAGTTACACTTGCTAGCTAAACGGAAGATGCACTGAAGGCCCTTGCTGACTTTAAAAGGGCTTCTGGTTCTTCCTCACTAGAGAAGCCATCCAAGTTCATCGTAGAAACCTGGGCCTGGCTTACAGAGGCTGGGTTAAGATTTTGTAGAGTTCACGACCCACAAACCCATGCCCTGGGCAAGCTCCCAGACCATGCCCTCCAGAGGGTCAGCTCTAAGCACAATGTGCCCTGATCCACTTGACCACCCCTTGGGGGTCAGTGCAGGAAGGCGCTGCTGACCTCTGAGAAGTGAGAGCACCCCCCCACCCCCGAATAGCCATTGTGGGCAGGCTAAGGCGCTGGGCGTGAAGCTGGTTCCACTCCGACTGTGGTCCTTCCATTGGTGCCTCTCCCTGCACTACCTTTGCTCTCCTACGGCCAGCACCATGCTCACCTGCCACACTGCTGCCCCTCGCCAGCAGCCTGGGCCCCTCAGTGAAGGGCCTTCCCCAGACCCTGCTCCAGTCTGGCCAGTCCCCCGTCAGAACTGCCGGCTGCCTCTGCGGCAAACTCACCCTGCCCTCCCGGCAGTGGAACGCACCCGCCTCGCTGACCCTGCCTGCCCGCTGGCTGCAGAGGCAGAGGGCCCAGGGAAGGGAGGGCTGAGCCCCCTGAGCTGGAGAAGAAGGAGCTCCATTTGCTCACCGAGAAAGTGGAGTCGCTTGGCCCCCGGCCCTGCTGCATCGAGCATGGAAGAGGGCCCGCCTGAAACCACCCTGTGAACCGAGCCTGTAAGAACACAGCTCCCGGCCCCTCCCGGAGGGCCCTTCTTCTCCAGCCAGAGACTATCTCTCCCGCCCTGCAGTCTGCACATGGCACTGCTTGCCGAGCTCCGGTGTGCAGCAGAAATGCCTGGAGCCCTTGTGACGCCCTCTGTGCGCCAGCCTCTGCCAGGAGGACCCTGGGGCAGGAACAAGGGCCAGAGAGAGGGGTGGCCCGAGAAGCAGGGCACAAGGCCAGGGCAGTTTAGCCGGCTAGAGGGCGGAGTCAGCAAAGGGCGGCCCCGCCAGCCGCTGCCTGACCCACCTCCCTGTGGACGTGCGTGATGGCCGTGGAGAGCTCCAAGCCGTCGAGCAGATTATTGCCATCGTAATCGTGCATCTTGAAATAGTGGAGCTGCAGTTCCTGCGGGGACATCTCTGCCTCTGGCTTGATGACACCTTCCAGATGTTCCATGATATGCCTGAAAGCCAACAGTCGGTTGCAGGCCTGTTACCACGAGGTGGGGACACCAGACGACTGCCGCCACCCACAGAGTCCTCAACAGCTCAAGAACTTAGAGCTCCTGACACGGAAACCAGCCCTCAGTGGCAGGGGTCGGCCACGCTCCAGGACGGCGTGTGGACAGGGCCCGAGAGGGGGACCGCACCAAGCTAACAGGTTTATTTGTCACGGGAGTTGGGGAGGGGAACGTGTGGGCGCTCTTCCCTCCTCGTTACCAGAATGTCATCATAGCTTGGGGCTCTCAACTTCATAAAGATTAAAAAAAAAAAAAAACCCACAACAATTAAAGGAAGGGTCAGAGGGGGGAGGAGAACATCATGTGCTGCGGCTGAGCCAGGATAAAGGCTGCAACCCAGACTCCGATGCTTGGCTGTAGCCGTAAAGATCGGGTCTGAGCTCAGAAACCTCAGCTCTAGTCTGCCTTCTGGCCCTACTGTTGTGTGTGTGGGTGGGGTGGGGGGGGGAGTGGAGTAACCCCGAGGGCCTCCATCGGTAACGAGAGAACACCTGACTTCCAGGTGGCTATCAGGAACAGAACGCTGCACGACAGTGGTCTCCCCAGCATATCAGGGGATGCGGAGAGCGAGCACAGTGCGACCTCGGAATACGTACTCTTGGTTGTGCACTGTATTCTTATCCAGGCCCCCGCCGGCGCCGTGTGAGGAGCTGGCTCCAGGCTCCTGGGCCCTGGCGCCCGGTGGGCACCAGCCCGCCAGCAGGCCGCACAGGAGCAAGGTTCTGAGCAGCTGCAGGTATCCCATGGTCTCCAGCACCTGGGGGTGGGGGACAGAGACGATGAGGGCGGGAACATCAGAGTGAAGGCTGCTTCCCTGGGAAGGAGGCTGAAGTGGAGAGACTGTGGAGGAGACCACACCAAACTGGGCCCAAAGCCACCTCTGCCACCTGATGGCACAACCTGGGGCACTATGCGTCCCCATCCCTTACATGGCATTTCTGTGTGCCAATCAGTTCCACGAGAGTCACGGGACTCCGAGGTCACGCCTGCCTACGCGGTGCTTGGGGCAGGTGAGAGGAGATGAGCCTGCGCCTGGGGCCGCACCAAGGGCAGTGAGGCACTGCAGGATGACAAACGCTGGGCAAGGCCAGAGGAAGAACTTCCCCAGGGGGAAGATACATCTCTAAAGGATGACCAATGCAGCCACAGCCTGCGGAGCCTGGGGCCAGGACATGCTGTGAGCCGGCAGGGCCCAAGGGACCGACTGGGACCGGGCAGGTGATTGGATGACTGGAGCAGATGCAGGTGCAGACAAGTGGTGCGACGCGTCGTTTCGTCAGGAGGCAGCCTAGAGGGTGCAGAGTGACCGGCACAATGGGCGACGGGCTGCTGAAGGCTGCGAGGACCCAGTGTAGGTGTCTTAGCCTGCTAAGCCTGGGGTGCTGGGGAGCCACTGAGGACTCGTGGCTGGAGGACGAGAGCAGGGGCGGGTTCAGAATGACTCGTCTGACGGACGGCTGGTAGAAGGCTGGGCGTGGGGACTCTACTGCTGAGAGAAGCAGGGAGGCAGGTTGCTCACGTCTGAAGTCGGGGACAGAAAGAGGATGCTAGCAGGTGCTGCTCGTCACCTGGGGCTGGGACAGCACCAAGCCCCTCACCGCTGGGAAAGAGTAACACTGAAGTTAGGGTCCCGTCACGAGCTCCGGGGCGCTGGCCCGACTGCGGATTGTGCGCAGCAACAAGACGACCTGCCCGGCTGCCCAGCCAGCGCCCTGGGGGCTGGGGGCTTGTTTTTCGGGTATTCTACACTGAGACTCTGGCACATTTTTAACTCTGGTTGTCTAAAATTGACTGTGGCGAGGCCAAACTGGTGTGGGAAGTATGGGCACAGTAGTGGCCAGAAAAGGAGACAAAGGGAGCTGCAATGGCAGGGGGGCCAAAGGACCCACATCAGCCCAGCACCAGGATCGTTAGGGAGGTGCCCCTGGATAAAGGGCGGCCCGCTCCAAGGAGACCCGAAGAGCCCGCTCCCAGGCACGTGCCAGCGTCTTCGTGCTGTAGGCCACTGCTGGTGCCCACAACTCTGCATGCTAGGGAAGCGAGGGGCACTCGGTGCCTGATGTGCTCTCTACCACGGGTTCGAGGAGACTCCGCTGAGAGCGGCTCTGGAAGCATGCAGGTGGGCGCCGGAAGGAGACGGCAGCCGCAGACCAAAAGAAGAAGGGCAGAGACACAGAAACGGACAGGAGCTGGGACGAGGCCAGCAGAAGAGGGCGAGGAAAGGCTAGAGGAACAGAATGGGGGGTGGGGGGAGGGTACAACTGAACAGGATGGGAAGACCAGACCGCAGCCCCTGGAAGGTACCACTCTGAAGGGGTGGGGGGGCACGTCTGTGAGCCGTCGTCTTCAGGCCGACCCGAGGAGACGGCGAGAATGGTGGCTGGAAAGATCGTGCGAACCTGGGCTTCCAGGACCTTGCTGTGCTTCCTCCATGTGAAGACTTGGACTTTTTGACAAGCGGGCTTCTAGCAGCTCATTACTGTAGCTTTATTAAGAGTGATGGCAGTGGGGTAGCTTTGGGAGACTACTAAGGAGCCCTTGGAGAAAACCCAAAGCTGTTGTCTACTTGACAGTGAGTCCGAGAGACTGACTGCGCTCAGAACCCTCTGCATTGTGCGTATGCGTGCGCCTTGTCGGGGGCTGCACTCGGGCGGGGCCGGGTGGCCGGCGCAGCATTTCACAAGAGTGCTGCAGAGTGTATTTAGTCGAGCCAGGAAGCCAGGGCCTTATGCTTATAAAGCCAAACTCCAAACTCACTGCCCTCGAGTTGATATCGACTCATAGTGACCCTGCAGGGCAGGGTAGAACTGCCCCCGTGAGTGTCCGAGGCTGTTCACTCTTTATGGGACTAGGAAGTCTTCCTGCCAAGGAGCTGCCGGTGGTTTTGAACTGCTGACTTTGCAGTTAGCAGCCCACATAATCACTATACCACCACCAGGTAGTTTAGACTTAGATGCACCTCCCTGCCGGCCTTTGTACAGCTTCTGAGGATTCACCTTCACCCCTGGAAGTGTGAAACCCCAGGCTTTCTCCTCATCCCATCTGCCAGCTTCTCAGGCTTCAGTCCATGACGCACGCCACACTTCGTGACCTCACGGCACAACGTTCCATCTGCTTCTCCCCCTGCTTCTTCCTGCTCTTCTCCCTCCACCTCCCACTCTGCCAACCTGGGAACGTGACTAGGCTGCTGAATGGCTAAACGTGTCGGCTCCTCTGATTCCTTAGTTATAATCTCGTGTCTTTAGAAATCGACTCTGTGAAACTTCTCTAAACCTTCAGGGAAGTCTGATGGTGCCCAGGAATGTAACTCCCCCAACTGTCCATCCTTTTTACCTGCTGCCAAAGTAGCTCAGGGAGGGTGGGGGGAGGCTACCTTCGCCTCTTTCTTCTTTTCTTTTCAGGGCTCCAATCACTTTTTGCCTCTATGTTGAACATTTGGGGTTTGACACATCATTCATTAAGTGAGGAAGTACCAGTAAGAGTTTGCTGTTAAGTGAATGAAGAACTTGAGAAAACTTCGTTTTATAAATAAAGAACATTCTTCTTAAAATAATATTGATTGTGATGATTATACAACTCTAATATATTTAAACCACTGAATTGTAACGTATGTGAGTTATATGGCACTAAAACTATTGAAAAATTAAATTAAAATGGGGGGGAACCCACAAAATTACTTGTCAAACTGAAAGTTGTGGGCCTTCCTGGGACTTAAGAGACTGGCTGGTGAAGGCCAGCCACAGGCCCAGCGACCAGGCCGGACCACAGAGTCCCGTCCTAAGGGGATGAACGGAATCTGCTGCCGGTAACAAGGGCCGGTGACTTCAAAGGCCTCCTCTAGCACCCATGGCCCACACCTGCCACAGTAACGATACAGCAGCTGGCAGCGGCCACACTTGGACACACACACAGGCACCCCCGGAGCTCAGCCCAGCCGCGGCGGCATCTCTGCTCTCCTGACGCAGGGCTGGAGGTCGAGAAGCTGCAGTTCCTGCCCACTGATCCTAAGAGGCTCTGGAAAGTGAGGTCTTGGGAGCATGCCGCCCCACGAAGTTTTGACACTGTGCCCAATTACAGCAATACCTTCTGTGGCCTCTCCCTAAGGGGACAACGCTCACTTGCATGTAGAGCTTCAATAAAGTGGCACTACTGAGCAGTGACGTTATAGTGCAATCTGTCCAATTCATACAAAAGAGGGCAGGCCATGAAAGTCAGTTCAGAAGAATGCACGTTTGTGGGAGAAATAAAAGGGAAATCGTGTGTAAGTATATTTCACCCACAGACAGACATCCAACAACCAAGATCCCTTTCTGGGTCATGACCATTACACCCATGGTGACTTTCTCCTTCATGTTTTCTACTGTTTCGAAACAGTCTACCGCTACTTTCTTAGAAAAGTGGCACAAGGTCACCGCTTCTAGGCCTTCCCTGTCAGCGCTCCCACAGTTTTGGCCAAATACTATGTGGAGAGAATAAGAGAGAGGGGAAAGGGTGTGTGTGTGTGTGTGTGTGTGTGTGTTGAGGTTCATTCTCATCTCCAGAAAATAAAACAAATTTAAGTGCACTTCCTTTTTTATCAGAGGGAGGTGTCTGGCACCCGGCCCGTATCTCTGTACTTGTTTCTAGGGGGCCAGGTTTGCTGTTTCTCACAGCGGTGATGGCCAGCCAGCCAGAGCAGAACACCTCGTTCAGGCCACTCAGCTGCCATCTCTAGGGCAGGAGTCAGCAGGGGACCCAGAGCCTGCGCAGCTCTCTCCAGCGAGCCACCTGTGGCCCAGGCGGTCTTCCCAGATGCGCCCCCATGCTTCCCCTCAGCAGGCCCCTGCTCAGTGCTTCTGCGGGCCATGAACACCGTGTGGGCAATGGCCTTGCTAGACTGGGCTCTGCAGAAGCAGGGACCGAGGCCCCATGCCCAGCATCTGGCATGGTGCCTGCGACGGTCTGGTGGTTCATGGCCCTAGCGAGAGAATCCCCCCAAGCCACTAAGGTATGCTGCCAAGTGTCAGGGCTACTATCACTGAGGGAAGGGGTCTGGTGGTCAAGAGGGCTGTGCGCTGGGCAGTTCGAACCCACCAGTTACTCTGAGGGAGGAAGATGAGGCTGTCGGCTTCTGTAAAGATTGAGTCTTGGAAACCCAGAGGAGCCGGTCTACTCCATCCTACACTAAGGTGACCAGACGTCCCACTTTTGGTGGGACAGTCCCGATTTTTAACAAATTTTCCCACGTCCTGCGGCATTTTTTAAAATGCACAACAAGCTAAGGTAGACGTTTTTTGGCTGCCATGTGGCTATTTCACCAGGATATGAGTTTTATCAATGGTGTCCCACTTTACCAATGTTAAAATCTGGTCACCTTGAGGGTCCCGATGAGTCAGCATCTACTCGATGGGGGTGAGAGCAATCAGTTCATCAGTTCTTGTTTTTGCTTGCTGTTGCAGGTTACTAACCTGAGCACAGCACGAGCGAGGTGGACACCAGAGCAGCAGACCTCTCTAAGCGCTGCCAAGAGGACAGAAGTCCGCCTGCCACCGAACAAATGAACGCCGCTTGGATCCAAAAGGAAACGCAGCCGCTTCCCTCTGCCCAACCAGCAGGTTGCATCATCCACAGCCCCAGCCCCTTAGCCCAAGGCTGCGCGCAATCAGATAAACTCCGCAGCTCCAAGCACACCGGCCCAGTTTAGGACACTGTGAAGGCCAGCCAGGCTGGAGGAAAATCCCGAGTGGAGCGACGTCTACAAAGAGACTTCCACACAACCCATGCCGCCTTGTGACATCTCTCATGGGAGGAAGCGCAGGCCCAGCCCTGTACAGGGGAAAGCGAGAGGTCTGGGACGACTGGTGACAGATGCCAAAGGAGGCCACCTCCTCTGCTGAGTTGTCCGGCCTTCTCTAGCTGAGCCCAACATGCCTGGCCAGCCTGGTCCGACCCCCTGCGCCTCCCCCACCCCAGCTCCAGTGTCACTAGCCCCCACTCACTGCTCTGCTGGCCTCTTCCTGCCCCAGTGCCTTTGCCCCCCACTGCTCCCATCTATCTGCCCTCCCTCTTCTAGGTTCAGAGGTAACTTCAGTATTCTTCCCGTCCACGCTAGCTTCATGCTGACACCTCTCATTTGACTGTGACTATGTGACTATGCACAGCACCTGATGGTGCTATGGATTAGGTATTGGGCTCCTAACTGAAAGATTGGTGGTTCAAACCCACCAAATACACTGTGAAAGAAAGATGAGGCTGTCTGCTCCCATAAAGATTCACAGCCTTGGAAACCCTGTATAAAACCAAAGAAATCAAGCTCACTGCCATTGAGTCAATTCTGACTCATGGCGACCCTATAGGACAGGGTAGAGCTGCCCCTGTGGGTTTCTGACACGGTAACTCTTCACGCAAGTAGAAAGCCTCATCTTTCCCCCAGGAAGTAGCTGGTGGTTTCAAACAACTGACCTCGAGGGTGGCTACCGGATGCACAGCCAGGGCTCCCCAAGGATACCGTTTTGAACTGCTATACGTCAGAACTGATTCGAGGGCAGTGGGTGGACATAGTCACATATTGTTCCCCCTTTCCCCCTCCTCTCTAACATCCATGGGCTGACCTGGAGCTAACAGACTTTCACATCTGAATCAGGGCAGTGAGCTGTTCCCTATCACAGAAGATCCAGCTTCTTGCTGCAACAATAAGTGCCCTTTGGAGCCCTCTGATTAATGGTTTGGCCAGGCTCACCTTTCCCTCTCATTGTGTCGTTCGCCCTATCAGCTTGCCGGGGTTTGGAGCCAATCTTTCTCCCTGTGACCCACAGCAGCTCTTTGTCAGCAGCTTTTGTCCCATGCTGGGGGTCCTCAGTTAAGAGCTCAGATGTAAAGCACCTACTCTCATCAACACTCAGGCATCCTGTACAGAGAGCCAAAAAAACCCCCCATGATGCTGGCACTTCCCCCATGGGCCTGGGCTGAAGGAAGAAACACCCAAGCTCCCAAAGAAACCTTTCTATGGGTGGAGGTCAACAACTGACCTTGAAAAAGCAGGGACTTGGCCACCGGATCTACTTGTTCAGTTGCGCTTCGAAGCTTATCTGTACACGAAACATACACCTATAGAGACTGGCACTGTGCAAGGGGCTGACGCCACAGCTGCCCCAGGCAGACCCTCCTCATAGATTACATGTCACCTAGGCATCAGTGGGATTCAGCTGGGGCCCCAGCCCACACATGGGGAGGGAAAAATGTATGAACCCCAAGGATAGAGCCTCCAGCAGAGGGAACATAAAGTACAGTGGCCTAAAGGCAGAAGGAGCTTGGGCCAGTCCAGGAACGAAAACAAGTTTATGATCTTAAAGACCCAGCACAGAGGAGGGAGACAGTCTGGCCTGAAGTGAAAAGAGGGCTGGTCGTGAAGGGGCTCCCCAAACGGTGGGGGAATGGGAGGCACGCTCTGGTGACCGAGGTGACCTAAGACCAGCAGCTGGCTTCCCTAGATGTGAAGAAACTACAGAAGATACGAAGGGATGCAGTAGGGGCCCTGCCAGTTTAGAGGCCACTCAGGTAGTTCAGGGAAGAGATGATGGCAGCCACAACCAGCTGTGGCTGTCGTGTGACCTAAGGCAGCCGAGAGCTCTGCGATGCAAGTGTAGCAGATGGGCAAAGGCGAAGAACGACGGCTAGGTTTCTGGCTTGGGCAATTGGCGGACTGAAAACTTCGCTGTCCTGGTCCAACCTCGCCGGGCTGGGCAGGCCCTGCCGTTTCCCAGGAGGGAGCTAGGAGGAGTACAGGCAGGGGGAGAGGAATGGCCAGGCCTGCTTGCCCCCCGGTCAACGTGGGACAGTGTCCACCAGCACTGCTGGTCCCACGTATAGGTGCTGGGAACCCCTTGGGTCGGCGACGAGGGCGGGAATGGGGCCCAGCCGAGCCCGGCGGGCTGCAGAGCCACCAGCTGCAAGAGGCCCGGGTCGTGACAGGCGGCCAGGGACCCCGACGCCTACCCTCCTCCAACCTTCGAAACGACCCCTGAGCCCCCAGAGGACCCCAGATCCCGCCAGGCTGCGGACGCCACAGTCCCGTTCCATGAGCCTCCGCCCCCCAGGACGGGCGTCAGGAGCCCCAGGTCCACTCACGGTCGCGGTCCCCAAAGGTTTTCCGCCGAGACGCGAAGCCGTCTAGCATGAGCCTCGCCGGGCCCCGTCCCAGACGCTTTTTCCCCCTCGGCTCCGCCCCGCCCCCTCTGCACTGCGCACGCGCGCGCCGTCCGGCCCGCCCATTGGTACCGCGCGGCCCCGCCCCCTGTCCCAGGACCACGCGTGCCGACGGCTCTGGTGAGTCCACGTGTAACGGGCCGGGGTCCAACACGGGCCAGGTGGACGTCATTCCTTTATCTGCCTTCCCGGGTGGTGACATTCGGCTTCAGCCCAAATTGATCCGTTGGACCCGCTGGGAGCTGGGGGTGGGGGGAAGGGCGGGGCACCGAACGGTTGCTAGGCAACCGCTGAAGCTGTAGCAAGGACGATCCAGATTGGGCGGATCCCAAACTGGCTTCCTGCTGCGCTTCCACCTTCCGCGGTGCTTTGCTTCCTCCTCCCGCCATGGGAGTGTAATCGGAATCCTTCCGCTCTCCGTGAAACTCCCTGTGGCCAGAGCGGCTCTTGAATCGGCCTTGAGCCCGGTGTTTCCAAAATTGGCTTATTACCACCCCTGCTTGCCCACCATCACACCACCCCTCACTCAGTACCACTCCTGCCCCGACACCAATCCCACCGAGTTGAGGCGGCCCAGCTGAGACTCAGCTCCCGCGCAGGCCGACAGGCCAGCCTGTTGATAGCCAGTTTTGTCTGAATTACTGGTTTATTTTAACTTGAAGGGTTTTTGTCTTTTAATTGCTTCTAACGTTCCACTTGTTTGTGCATTTACTTTTTTAAAAATCCTGAGCGTGGTAAGATACACAGAACATTTGCCAACTCCATCATTCGATTTGTGTACAAATCAGTGCTATTAGCATCCACCGTTTTGTCTAACTGTTTTATCTACAATGTTTTTCATCACAGAAATTAACAGAAACTGGGTGTCCCTTAAGCAATGACTCTGCTTTACCCCGCGGCCACTGCCCCAGGTAACCATTAATAAGCTTTAGTCGACGTACTTTCTATTCTAGATATTTTGTGTAAGTGGGAGCATGCAATATGTGCCCTCCTGTGTTTGACTTCTTTAGCATCATGTCATCTGGGTTCATCCGTATTGTAGTGTAAGTACTAGGATTCTATTTGCTTATGGCTGAATAGTGCTCCATTTTATCCATGTGCCCCTTTGCTTCTCCCGTCATCTGTTATGATCACTTGGGTTGTTTCTATCTTTTGCTATTATTATTGTAGCCTTTTAAACCATGGGTTCTTTTATTTTGTATTATGTGTGGAACAAATGTAAATGTGATCGTTCATATCGTGTGTTGACAAGATTATCTTTTCTATCAATATAAATGCTCACCGGGCAATTTTTCCTTCCGCCATGCATATGGTTGTTATTGAGTCAGAGTGACGTGATGGCCCTTAACAGCCAAAAAATTAGTTCAAGATTTTCCTATGATTTATTATGGTTTGCGTTGTTCATAAGTAATTGTTTTTCAAATACTGTTACATTAATAAACATAAAATGATAATAGCATGTGGTGAGTGATGAGTTGTATATACTAATAAACACATTATGAGAATAATACACCTCATGGATACATTCTTAGTCAGGTCAACAGTGAAAGATAGCTTTACATTCTCTAAGGTGTCTTGACAAGATTTAAGACATTATGATCAGGCTAATAAAAGAATAGAATATTTAGATATAAAAACCACAATGAGATACCACTTCACACCCACCATGCTAGCCCAAATTAAAAAAAAACTAAAAACAAATGCTAGAGAGGATGTGGAGAGATTGGAACTCATATACACTGTTGATGGACTTGAAAATACAAACAGCCACTGTGGAAAATTATATGGCCATACTTTGAGCAATTGGAATCTGGAATTCCATATGATCTAGCAGTACCACTATTAGGCATTTACCCTAAAGAAATAAAAGACACTCCTGTGTTTATAGCAGTGCAATTCACAATAGTAAGAAACTGGAAGCAGCCCAAATTCCCAACAGTAGAAGAATTAACAAAGAAACTATGGTACATATACTATGCATTCCTAAAAACAAAAGCAAAAAAAAGTGGCGAAAGCATGAAACGGCGCATGACATGGAAGGATCTGGAAACCATTATGCTGAGGGAAGTAAGTCCATCACAAAAGGACAAGTATCGTATGAGTCCGCTACTGTAAGGTGAAACACCAATTAAATCTTAGGGACCAATTCTTCAACAAAGGGGATGAAGACTACCTGCTGGCCATGAACCATACATCACCTCCCTTTTATGCACCTCACAAGAACCACCTTGAAGGAGGAGACCTCAAATCGTCTGGGGTCACTCCTAGAATGGGGAAATGAGAGAAGATCATCCACTTAAGGCTGTACAACATCGAGACAAGGCTGGGACAAATCAGTGCTCCCCTCCCCTCGCAGGACTGGAAGGAGAACTTTGCCGGAAAATTAAGCCAAGACCAAGGAAGGGGAGCATCTACATTTTGGAAGAGACCCTGATAGTTCTATTGGTGAGTATGGTGGGTAATTGGGGAGAAGTAACCTCACATCAGGAAGGGATACTTTGTTCTTGGGTAGACACTACGAATACACTTCTACCCAACCCTTGGTGAACAACACTATGGACTAAGCACCATGATGACCTTGGATGCTGACCTTGTGGGCAGCAAGGCATAACTCAGGGGCTATACAAGAAGGACTTAACATACAGGTGCAGCAGAATGAACTGAGCCATGCCTCAAAGGTGCCTGCACTCTTGGACTGAGAACTGGTAGGAGAAGAAGCAGAAAGTGGCCATCCTGGACCTGTGGAAGTGGCAGTCATTGGACCTTGGGGGGAACCCAGGGCTTGGTGGGTGTCCAATGGAAAGAACCCAGAATCACCATAGAGTTAGTACCTGGATGCCCCCTCACAGTGACATGATAGGTTTTGATCTGTTGGTCAGGGATCTGAACTTGGAAGAATTGATCCAGGAAGTTTCCCCCAGGCACCAGTCCCCATGCTTCGGGTAAACAGAGCTCAATCGAATGGGAGATGGAACTGTGTGGCACATGAACTCATGGGTTATGGCTCACGGTGTAACTGTGCTTGCATAGACTCCTCATACCGATAGTGCCTGGTGTGTGTGTCACTGGAAAAATTGAAGATATTACCAGTACAATCACATTATACCCCAGGGGGATGATTGATGATGTTTTTACTTTTCTGTTCCTATGGATTTTTATTTTCCTGCCTTTATTTTGTTGGTTTGTTGCCTGCTAATTGGTTTGTTGCTGCTGTGGGGGTAGTTGGTCTTACGGGGTTTTAATTTGTCCTAATACGACCGCCACAGCAAACCTGAGTCGTGTATATTCCAGGGATGAGCAGATGGATTCTGGGCCCCCACATATCTCTAGTCCCAATCCAAGAACAGTTAGCTCGGATATCGTGGTTCTGCTCGATTCCCACCTTCATGAAATGATCACTAAAGATAAACATGCTACAGCAAAGTGTGAAGAGAGAGCAGATGGTGCCTGGCTATCAATCGGAAATAGTGTCTGGGGTCTTAAAGGCTTGTATTAAAACAAGCAGCCATCTAAGTGAGGAGTCAACTAAGTCCACATGGAAGAAGCGCTCTAGCTTGTGTGATCCAAAGATGACAATCACAAAATTCAAATATGACAAAGGGAAAAGTCAGAGCCTAAATTGCGAACACCCAATGTGTACAAGGCTCTGGAGGACAGTGGGAGGCCAAACCCCTCTGCAGAGCATCTAGTCAGATTAAGCTGCTGGCAGATCCCCTCTGGACACAGGCAAGGATCTCCAACAGCTTTGCTATCAGATACAGATCGTTGTCCTTGTGATTATAGTGGATCACACTGGCTACTTGGTCAGTTAACCTCCTGCTTGATCCGACCTGAATTGTTGTAAGTGTAAATATTTCTTGCTTGTTTCATGACAAAAATTTCTTCCCTGGCCTTTGAAATACTAATGAGGGTCATTCTTATTCATTATTTGTATTTTTATCTTTGTATTACTATTCAGTCTTACCACTTTACTTTGTTTCTGTTCGGTTTTCCAGTTTGTGAAGCGTAGAAGGGGTAGATGCATAGAGATAGGAGCTGTTGCAAGGGTGTCTGGGGGAGGTAAAGGGAGGGGTTGGGAGATAGGGAAGGTGAATGGGTTGGGGGAGCAAACAATGTATGCGGGAGGGGGTAGGGAGCATTAGAACTGATGGTGATTACACAACTCACTTTAAGAGTGATTAAACCATGAAAAAAAAAAGAAATGTCCTAAAATTGGGGTGTAATAATTGTATAATTCTTCTTGATATGATTGAATTATCGAATTGCATGATATGTAGATTATGTGCCAATAAAACTGTGAAAAAGAATGTAAAGGAAAAAGAAATGTCCTTGTGTGGCACAGCTTGCATTTGACTAAAGGCTGTTGGTTAGAGTCCACTCAATTGTGCCTGGGGATTTGCTTTCTGTAAAGGTTACAGCCAAGAAAATGGAACCATTCTATTCTATAACACATGGGTCACCATGAGTCAGAATCAACAACAAAGGGGTTTAAAATGTCAGCCTTTTTAACCTTTATGGTGATCCCAAGACTAATGGATTCCCTCCAACAGGGTGTGGGATTCAAAAGCTTCACTTTCTGTACAACCAGAGGAGAGAACAAGGGAGAGACTGCCAAATTGGCTAGTCAGGGACTTGGTACGCTACTGTGGAGATGACTCCTCATTATTGCTGCCCAGCAGGGCTGGGTGTGGTTTACTGGCTGGGGTATGTTTGCCATGCTCATTTCTTTTCTGGGTGAAAGCATTATTGTTCCCTCACATTGTACACCAAATGTACAAGGGGTACCCCCATCAAAGGGAAAAAAGCTTCACTGGGCAGAGCTTTCGTAGTACACATTCCCCCTCCCACCCCTCGCTCAGTGAACATCCAGCAACTCGCTCCCAGTTTGTGCACCCAGTGGTGTCACCTGGGAAGGTTCTCTCTGGACACAGTAAATTCTTTGTAAAAGCACTTTTGCTTGAACCTTGTTTTTTGTGATGACCGATTTAAAAGAACAGTGTGT